CGATCCTTCCCCCAACTCTCTCCTTGCCACGCGCACCCCGTGCGAGTTGCGCACGATCCCTCGCCACGCGCTACACAACTTCCCCCCACTGCGCGACTTTCCTCCCCAGGTTCCCCCCCCATCACCATCACTATCGTCATCATCATCGTCATCATCATCATCATCGTCAATCTACCCGTACAACCCCCTACCTACCACGCTACCACCCAATCAATCATAGATAGGATCACTCCGCCCTCGATTTACATCAAAACTAATTTATTCCTTTATTTATTATTATTTTTTTATTGTTTTTATAACACTTTTGAAATTCATATAAATTTGAAAATACTTAACTATCTTTCTCAACATTTCTTTTTCAAAAATATTTTCTTTTTTGAAATTTTTGGCATTTCTTCTTCGGGAGTTGAAAACAATTTTAATTATTTTTTTTATTATTTTTTTGTATTTCCAAAATATTTTAAAATGAATTAAATTATTTTTCGATTTTTTTTTTTTTTTTTTTGTAATTGGAAATATGTAGAATTATTTTTTTTTTTTAGATATTCCTTTGAAATTCGAAAATACTTTTCATTCACTCTTTTTCGAAAATTTTGAAAATACGTTTTTTTTTTCGAAAATTTTGAAAATATGCTAGAATTAAACCACCAGTACCAGCGCCAGTGTTGGGAAATTACGTTGTCCTGGCCAGTCCCCGAAGTTTTCGGGGGTCGGACACAGGGTCGGCGATGTCCCAAAAATCGTAGTTTTCTTTTGCCCGTGCACGAAAGAAAAATGAAAAAAAAAAGGCCTTTGTACTGCAATGATGTCGGGCAGGGCCGTGCTCACAGTCTTGAATGCATCTTACAACAAAGACGGTCACATTATGAACTTGTTTTTTTTTTTTTTCTTCTCTTTGTTTGTGTTGTGTCCCTGGCAGGGCGGAATCCGTGATCTGCTCTAGCTGTGTTTCCTCAGATGATTGTAACCCTGATGTATCCAGCCGTTTTCAAGGCCGAATCCGTGTTTTCGTTTTTTTTTTCGTTTTCTTTTTTTGGAATCTGACAATCTGAATCCGTGATTTGCTCGAGCTGTGTTCCCTCAGAGGATTGTAACCCTGATCACACTGGCACTTACGGGAATGTATCTTGCCATTTTCACGGCCAAATCCGTACTCCTTTCTTTTTTTTGAGTTTCTGGAATCTGACAACCTGGCCACGGGGCTGAGATGCCCTTACTGAGGGCACACTCACACTCACACTTCCGAGAATGTATACAGCTGCAATCACGTCCAGAGCTTTGCTTCTTTTTCTTGTTTTGTGAGTTTTCACATCCGCAACTTTTTTTTTTTTTTTTGTTATTCCCGTGAGAGTACCATAAAGAAATGGAGTGGGACCCAGGCTCGACAAAACTCGGAGCGCAGTGAAAATCAGGGTCGGCAAAAACAGGCTCGGAGGTACTGGTGGTTTAAGTAAATTCTTTTTCGATTTTTTTTATTTTTTTTTTTTTTTTTTGAAATTCGAAAATAATTTTACTTAATTCTTTTTCTCGTATATTTGAATAAATTTCCTTTCGAAATTCTCAAACTTCGGGAATATTTAATTCCTTTTGAAACTTCATGCTTTTCATACCCCAAAATTCATTTCGAATAAATTTAACCAGAATTTATTTATTTGAAATTATTTTTTTTTTAAATATATTTTCAGCATTTATTTCACTCCTAAAAATTTTGTGTTTCCAACCTTTCTCCCGCGAAATCCTTTCCGAATTTTTGAATTAATCTCGAATAAATTACTCCAAATCGAAATAATTTATTTTGAATTAATTCTCATTTTATTCATTTATTGTTTTGGCAAAAACCTTTTTTGAATAAATCAATTAATGCGGTAAATACCCTCCGCACCCCCACCCCTGCCACACCACATGCCACCACGCCAAACCAAGACCTCCCAACGTGCAACTGTCGCCGCTGCCACCGTGTCTGCCTCCACCTCATCCGGAGCCGTCGGCTCAGCCACCACATCCACTCCATCTTCCCCCAACATGGCCCAATCCTCCAACATCGATATGACCGCCGTCAACACCTAGTCTGTTGACAGCCTCGCTGGCGAGCTTACGGGCGAACAAAGATTCGAGCCCGTTGCCACAGTTATCGCCACCCTCATTCGCATGATGTCCTCTTTCCGAATGGACATCTGCTTGTCCGTCACCAAAATCGAAGCCAATATCTCTGGCCTATCCAACCGTGTGACCTCTATGGAGCATCAAATCCCGACAATCACAGTGGTCACGTCCACGACACCCACCTCTACGACCGTGCCCACATCCACTGCCCTCGAGTCCCAAACCACTACCCCCTCCATCCAGGTAGTCACCACCACCACCCCCACGTCCACAGCCGCCTCCAGCCACACCCCCCGCCGACCTCCTCCACTCC